ATCAATTATGTAATTAGTAATTATTGTATTTGTGTGTAACCCACAACTCGAATTTTACTTGTATAATTATAATGATATAAAAACATAAATCTTTCGTTGAGAAATTCAAAATAAAGAACATTTGAATTATATATCACCTGCTCAATAAATCCAAGGTAATAGTGAATAGCACAAACAGTGACACCTGTGTCAACATTACCATAAATGGGAATTCACTAGAGGAAGTGTCCAGTTTTAAATACTTAGGAGTAATCTTGTCTAAAGATGGTACCTGCAACTCGGAAATCCTCACACGGATTGCCGCAGCCATGGCAGCGATGGCCAAATTCACAAGAATACGGAGGCGCAAAATCAGCTTTCAAAGAACAGACTGTACAAATCTTTAGTATTCCTTAATTCTGCTATATGGATTTGAAACGTGGACACTGTTGGCAGGTACAGAAACAAGGATCCAAGCGTTTGAGAACAAATGCATGAGAAAACTCTTTGGCATTTACTATTGGGAACAAAAAATAAACAATGAGTTTGTGCGGAAAAGGTTGAAAGTTTTGTAGGACACCAGGAACCTCTTCTCGCCATTGTCAGACGAAGAAAAATGACGTGGTTTGGACACATTACAAGACACAACAGCCTGTGCAAGACTATCGTGCAAGGCAACGTTGAAGGTGAACATAGGAGAGGACGCCAATGCAAAAATTGGTTGGACAATGTCAAAAAAAATGGACAAGTATGACTAAACCAGAATTACTGATGGCTGCCGTTAATAGACCCTTGTGAGGGAGATTTAGTGTAGCTTCTGCATTTGGATCCGCCCTACGATTACAAAAGTCAAGGGATGATGATGATGATGATGATGATGATGATGATGATGACGATGATGATGATGATGGCGAATGCGTAATGAGATTCACGTGCTATTCTCATAAAGCGCTCAAGTTTTAAAAATCACATTTCGCCGATATACTTTATTTGAAATGCTACAATAATATAAAGGGGGCCTCACGTCAACTAAGGGGGTGCAAATAAAACCGTTGAGAGGAAGGCCCGAAACGGTGCACATTCTCTCCTGATGATTCCAAATATTGGAGTTGAACTGCTCGATGGAAATGGGAATGGCCTGAGGAGTATTTTACTGTCCGCTAGCTTTCTGAATTTTAGAAACCATTCCTAGTGGACGATCCCAGGACTATAAATTCTCTGCGATATTTTTCTTATTCTCTTCTCACATTATCCGCTTATTCGTCAACATGTAACCCTCTCGCGGATATCGTGCTTCTCTTTGGGAAACGCACGAACAATATACACGCACACACACGTACGTACGCGCACTCACTCACTACACATTCATCATCATCATCATCATCATCATCATTATCATCATCCCCTTGACTTTTGTAACCGTGGGGGGGGGGACCCGAATGCAGAAGCCACACTAAATCTCCTTCACAAGGGTCTATCAACGGCAGCCATCAGAAACTCTGGTATAGTTATACCTGTCCATTGTTTGACATTGCCCAACCAGTTTTTACGTTGACGTCCTCTCACTACACATACTTTGGACCAAGACGGTTTTCAAATTTATTTGTTACACACACAATTCTCTTTGTCGATTTTGGTGTTAATACATGGTCATTTGTTTGTACATATATATTGATTCTTGTTTCTTCTCATTCTTTACGTGGACTCACACTCAATTCTTAGCATAAAACTTCAATCGGTAGGTTCTGGCTCACAAGGTTTTATATATATATATATATATATATATATATATATATATATATATATATATTTATTTGGATAGATGTGAGTTTGTGACCCTGAAAAATTTAAAAATAAATATAAATAATTATAATAATAATTTTTTACCTATCATAATTTTACACAAACCCCACCACACGTATATACATACATGCGAGGAAATATTTTTCAGCGAAAAAAAAAAAAAAAAAAAAATATTTTCATATTATGACATGGATACATTCACAAGACATTAACGAGACATTTCCGCCACACTTCCAATGTTTAAATTTCAACATTTCAACATACAAATGCGTATGTATAGACATAACACCACCCGTATACATACATGTGTCATAGACGAAACTGCCCACATATGTTTATATATGTATGAGTCCCGACGGACGACCAAGTATGTATATGTGTCTGCATACATCGATGTTTGCGTTAGTACGATGAATGACAAAACGACGAAATTTCCCCCACCACTTCCACAATAACACCAATACACGCAATCTACATAAACACAAATTCTTTAAAACATTAATCAGTTTGTCTGACGATCGCTGAAGCGTGAAACCCAGGGTCACAAACTCACATCTATCCAACCAAATATGTTAGCTCTATCTCTGATATTGAGCGCTTTCTAATAAGTACCGCGCATATAATATATAAATAATTATACATATATATATATTTATTTATATTTATATACACTTTTCACATATATATATATATATATATATATATATATATATAGAGAGAGAGAGAGAGAGAGAGAGAGAGAGAGAGACAGACAGACAGAGAGAGAGGGAGAGATAGTAAGAGAGAGAGAAAGATGGATAGAATAGATAGATAGGTAGGTAGGTAGGTAGGTACCAACACTGATTTGCTAAAAATAGCATACCATGATGAAAAAATGCCTTAAACTTAAAAAAAAAAATGTTATCGTCAAAATTTTTGTTATTATTAAGAGGAAAAAACAGAATTGTTTTTTATTATTAAATTATATTTTTATCCTTTTTCGAACGCTCAAAATTTTGGTTAAAAATGACCAAAAATATGTATAGGAAATATTAATGTCTTTTTTGCGGTGAAAAACATTGATTTGGAAATTCTTGTAAAAATCAAATTATTGCCGGATTTTAATTAAACTTTCAGGAATTATTATTCACAAATGAATTAAATTATTTTAGAAATATTTTCTTTTAAAAAATCCCGGTAAAATTGTGTTTACATCTGTCCCCCCGCCCCATTACACGTTACATGCGATTGTTTAATTTTATGAAATTTCAAGAAATTAAATTTTGTGCTATGTTTCTATTAGCTAAAAGGATTTAAATCATCGTTTTTTTTGGGGGGTGTCTGTAAAATAAGAACACCTGTTATATATATAGACACTACTGTCTCAAGGAAAAAAATTATTGTTAAATAATGAATTGTTTTCATTTTTTAATTTTAATTAGAATAATTTATAAATTTCTGCACTACTCCGTGCCAGTTAGATTGTTATTAAGTAAAACTATATTTACTAATCATAAATCGAAAAGTTTAATACAATTCATCGAATACCAATACTTTAAAAATAATTTTGATTTTTTTTGTGTATGTGTGTATAAACGTGCCGGTTTTGTTTATACGGACGTCCAAACAAGATATCAGAAAATAAGAGCGATAACTATAATAAATTTAAAGCGGAAGTACGTAAAATTAAATAAAACCTTAGATTACGGAGTATATTTTCCTATATTTTTAAGATTATAGGATATGATCTCCTATATTTTATGGCCAATAAGTAAAGCACAAACAAATAAGAGACGCCTACAAATAACTCTTATTAAATTCAGTACATACAAAAACAATTCTGCACAAACAGAGCTCCAAATTAAATAAGTGGTTTCTGGAACCTGATTGGATAGGACAAGTCATGTGATGTGTTTTCTCCGACGTCCGACGGTTGAACTCCAAATGATCTGGAAAAGGGTCGGGGCTCAGGATTTACGAATGCGTTCCCGCGCAAAACTCAGACAGGATTTGAAGCTGAGCACCGCTAGCTATAGCGATGAAAGCGGCTCGCCAGCGACGGTCGAATGAGAACAGTCAGCGACTAGATATGCAACGAATAGTCAGCGAAGAAAGCCCTGCCTCGACACACGTTACCATGACAACTCTTTACTCAGCGATACATTTTCTACACTAAAAAACATACAAAGCTGTGACGAAAGTAAGTCCTGTCTCCTCCCTCTTAGTTCACCGTATTTAAAATTACTGCTATCGCACGCAATCAGTCAGCAGACACACACATCTCATTAGCGTGTGTGCAGCACACACACACACACACACACACACACACACACATTGGCGTACATATCATTTCGATCTTTGTAGACTCTTTGTAGACTAACAAAATCACTTCGAACTATGCAAACTCACAACGAAATAACTTCGTACTTACAGAATCACGCGAAACAAAATCAATTTGAACTTTGCAAGTTCACTTGCAACAAAATAACTTTGAACTTCGCAGACTTGCAACAAAAATCACTTCGAATTTTGCAGATTCACTTGCGACAAATCATTTCAAACAAGTGAAATATTGGTCTCTTCATGGTCACAACAAAGAACATTAATTTTTAATATGCAAATACATGTATCCGCCTGTATAAGTGTTATTGTCATATTTAGCTTGGTCTTCTGTTTCTGCGAAAATCATTTCTTCGCTTTGTTGATAATTTTCTGTTGTATTTGTGTACAAAACATGTGGATTATATTTTTCCACCTAAAATCCGGGTAGACTGATCTCACAAGATTACATGGTAGTTAAACATTATATAAAAAGGCGCTCACGTTATATTCCTCAAGTACATTTTACCGATATATACACCGCAGAAAAAAAAAATTAGTTAACTTCAGTCTGTCATTCAAGCTGTCACCCTGTCAACACCTTAAAGAAACAGCTACAGCCGTGTTAACGCATTTCTGTGATATTTTAAACCTAAAGTAAATTTTCATTGCAGACTACATTCCTTTCGGGCAAACTACATTCCTGAGTTGCACCAGTTCAGACCTTCACAGCCAGGACCCTACATGCCAGGCATAATGAGTCAAGTCATCCTTACTCTCTTCATATTCCATTAGTGTGGAGGAAGTTCCACTTCACTCAGGCTCCTTCGCCAGAACTTCAGCAATGTGTAAGAGACTCTAAAAAGAATGCTTCACCAATTACTATAATCTTAAATTCTTCAAGGCTTACCACCATATCCCATTAAAACACCGGTTCTCGTATGATCATGAAAGTTAAGCAGCGTCATGACTGGTCAGTACCTAGGTTGGTTACCATTTGCGAACACCAGGTGATGTAAGCTTGGATGTGCGGGTGGTGTAATAGACAACTGCTCGGAATTGGAAACTGGAGAGCCGAGTTCCAATTCCAGTCGGGTTCGTTATATTCACTTAGGCGCAAATACCCTTGGGAAAGGTATGAATCCATCTCTTCAATCTCCAACTACGGGTTAAATAGTAGGTCTTATATCAGTAAAGTATTATCTCCAAAATAATTTCTTATAATCTAAAAATATTTTCAGGTTTTAAATAATCTGCAAAGAGCTGATTAGTCGTAAAACATATCTATCTATCTATCTATCTATCTATCGAAACCTGTCCATATCTATCTATTTATCTAAACCTGTCCGTATCTATCTATCTAAACCTGTCCGTATCTATCTATCTATCTATCTATCTATCTATCTATCTATCTATCACGTTTTCAAGTCCAGGGTCAGTCATTATCTATCTTACATATCATAATGTGCAATCCTTGTTCCCTCCCTGCACACCTCCCAATTTAGCAACCTTCTACCTTGAGTGGTTCTTTTTATTTAGTGAACAATAGTGAGAAAAAAAGGTTAATCTTGACAAAATCATTGAATATATTTTAATGAGAATCGTTGTGAAGAACCAAGCCAATATATTGGAAATTTACTGGAAAGCTTTCCAAGGAGAAAATCGACAAAAATGAAAAATGGTGGACAGACATTGCTAAATAAAAAACGAAAAAAAAAACAATTCATGTCGAGCGGAAGAGAACTGCAGGTAGATGAGTAATTGGAGATAGAATACCCTCCCCACCCTAAGGTTATGATGACATCAGTTCTAGTGAGAAGGTCGAAGTGTATTGCTTAGTTTCATCCATGTGCAAAAGGGCAATGTTGAGTAGATCTAGAAAATATGTTGAATCACTTCAAATTCGAATAAAAACAGCTGGAAAGGGAATATCAACAACAATTGATCTTACAATCTGAGAATTAACACCCTCCCACATCTTTCTCTCTCTCTTTTTCTCTTGCTCTCTCTCTCTCACACACACGCACACACAAACAAATATATATATACATATTTATATATAGTTGTATATTTAGGCAGCAATCCTTCCTTTATGCATGTTTCATTAAAAACAACAGACAAGGTACTACGGTTAAGCTTTTTATTTAATTTTTCTTGTGTACTGACAAGAGCTTTCTTTTCTGGACAAAGGGTCTGTAAGAACTGTCCAAATGTTTTATATTTCCGAGCGCTTTCGGCTATACCTTTAGCCATTATCAAGGATGATTCGATTTTCAGCTTAATTGAGTGTGTGCGTTCTGTGTATGTATCAATGTGTGGTAGGGATGTTTTTAATTTCCGAATACGGTTAGCACATTGTGGTTTTGTTCGTAGTTAATATTGTTAAGAGTTGGTTTTTTCATTTTTATTATTAAAACTCCCGTTATTTTTAGTCTTTTTTTTGCAAAATATTGATATAAAATCAATAAAAATCGTATTTTATGCAAAATTAAAGTACTTTTTTTTAAAAAGATTATAAAATACACAAATAATGTAAATAAATATATCACTGTGATTCCTTCCCAAGCTTTATCAATGAGATTTAAGCAATTTAGGATATTAAAGTGATCCTTTCAAAATCCTCTTAGTGTCAGGTTTGTATTTTTGGTCATTTCAAAACACCTGGTATTTTTTTGATAAGATCCACGTACAGTGCCCATGCCTTTGCATATGTAATATCTTCAGGCACAGAATCATTTTATGGCTGCCTCTCATTCTTCCGCCCTCAACAACAGCTTCTCAACATCTTCTAGGACTTTTAGATGATGCTTGGTAATTATGCTAATTCCCTTGGCTACATCAGGCTTTTTTATTTCTATCTTGTTCTTTAGGATAGTGAAAATTGTTAATGCTGAACATCCGTATAGATTGGTAAGGTCAGAAACTCGGGTACCTTTGTAAAGACTGCTATGTTTTTCCACGCCCACATTTTATTCGTCTGCGATTGGTTAATAAATCAATACTGCATTTCTATAGGACAATTTAGCCATCGCAGTTGTTGCTTTGAATTTTTCGGTTTTGAACTTGCTTACTTGTTTCGTTAGTACAAATTTAGCGATTGGTCAAATTTTAACCAACCTATATATTTTAGTGCAAAATCAAATTTCCCGCGTTTTCGCTGGGAGCCTATCTGTAGCTTTAAAAGAGGCGACTTTTTCACAAGCCGCCAGTAGAGTCCAGCAAACTTTGCTTGTCAACACAAACCTATGACTTTACTCACATTTCAAACGCACACACAGACACAGAATTTTGTAATACATATATACATATCTCTCTGTGACTCAGCCAAGTTCAATCAACCAGGAGTCTGTTGATTTCTCTAACACAACACACTTTCTGATCAATTGTATTCTTGTGTTATCAATTCTAACAGCAGACTTGTTCTAACATTGATTCCTGAAAATTCCTCTCTCAAGAGAATTTTCTTTTGAACAATCAATTACAAATCAAAATACGGTAAAAGGGAAGCAACTTCACTTAATCTATACATTGAATACAAATTATTGTATATTTTGTTCTTGTATGTAATTTCAATATATACTTGTTGATCCACATTTGGAGTTTCGTTTTCCCCTCTTAGTAGAAACCAGCTTCTTGGGTGACAGCGTGAGCTACAAAAATTATCCAAAAATTACCTACTAAAATTCAAAATTTATTGTATACTAGCAGTAGAGCCCGGCATTGCCCGGGGATGTAACAGTAAGAGATAGATCAAGTATCGACCATCATAAAGACTGAAAAATAAAATTGACAAAGATTATTGCTTAAGGTTGACGGACACGCATGTCTTAATTAGCTTTTCTTTTTTTTTTTACGAATTGGTCAAACCCAAACTCAAACAAAAACATTGTTCTCAATCGTTATGAGTCTATCGATTGAATAAAATTTTATTATAAGCAATTGTCTTGTAAATTGAATTTTTAAAGCATTCTGAATGTAAAAATAAAGAAAAAAGTGTGCAAGACAATAAGAAACACTACCCGCCAAAAAAAAGTGAAGTTTTGTTGAAATCGGTTGAAAAATGTAGAAAATCCGATCCCATAACAAACACACACACACACACACACAAACAACCTGGGTTTTTATAATAAGTATAACTCGATATGAGTTGTCCCCCTTTCATTCTCGCGATGCCTCTTAATCGTGTTTTCAAATTGATTTCGTGCAAAAACAATTGTGTTTTTCCAATTTTTGGCGCTGTCAGAACCACCGCAAGGTAATTTTACGTAGTCCTGTGAAGTTTTGTTGAAATCGGTTGAAAAATGTAGAAAATCCGATCCAGTATATAAACGTACACACACACACACACACACACACACACAACCTGGGTTTTATAATAAGTATGATGTACAGTGATATTTACAGTAACACATTAAACTGTGCTGTACAATAACTGTACGGAAAAATGTAAAGAAACAAATTTCAGTGATGAAATGTAACATACAAATTAAACTGGATGCGTAGTTTTTTTACTGCGTAGTTTACGTGTTGTACTTGCATTTTATACTTTTTATTTCACTCTAATTAAACATTATATTTATTTTTTTTTACATTTTTCTACTTTACTGTATTGATATCAATTTAAAATTCAATGGTTATACGTTGTATATTAGACTAAAACACACTTTGCATTCCATAGAGATTAAACGAAACGAACTCAGCATTGTCACATTACCTACCTTAAATTCAATAAATTTTAATAAAATTTACATGTTACTGTGTTTTACAATAATGTACACATATTTTATTCATTACTGTATATAAATTTTTGGACATAATATGTGTTCACTACATATGTTTATTCTACGAGGTAACAAAGAGGACTGATAGGGATGATGCAATGTCCGTAGTATTACACGACATCTAGTGTAAAGGAACTTTATAGAAATATGTACTGTATAATAATAACACTACTATATATAAAATATATTATAATATATTAATGTACACTGTATATAAAACATTAAAATATAAGAATAAAAAATACAGTATAAAATATATCTGCAAATATTTAATGGAGTAAGTACAGTGAGAATACAGTATTAAAAAGTATTGTATTACTGTATAATACTACAATATTATATTATTCTATATAAAATATATAATGATATGATATATAAAACATAAAATATAAAATACAGTATATTTAGATAAGATTTAAAAGTATTTACGGTACATTTGTATCAAATATCTAGTTTGAAATCCAGTGGCGGGAAACCTATTCTTAATTTCGTAAGTCGAAATTAATTCGTAAGTTGAAACGAATTTTCTGACAATTTTTTCTCGTATGGCGAGTTTTTCGTAAGTGGAGGTCTTTGTGAAGTCGAGATTTCACTATATATATATATATATATATATATATATGCTCTATTCATATGCAAATCTCCACTATATAAATAGTAGTTGATACAGCTGGAGGCTAAACTAATCCTAATTTTGAAGACAAAACAAATATATGTATTAAACAAAACAATTTTACAATGGACAATAACATTTGTGTGTGTGTGTAAACATTGGTGTCTGTTCTTTGGTGAATGTTTGTACGTACGTGTATGTGTGTATAATGTTCATGGCGTCTCCCACAAATGGGAAGACGCAGATCTTCTGAGAGTGCTTACATTGTAGTCGCTGAAATGAGAAGAAATGAAAGATAGGACGAGGCGAGAAATCGCCCAATATATGTAGTATAGGGAGAATGACCCCTAGTGGCAATTTGGGAATTAAGGAGGAGCTAACTCCGACCCTTACATGCATGCATACATATATATATATATATATATATATATGTGTGTGTGTGTGTGTGTGTGTGTAAACCGTTTGCATTCATTAAGGCTGTTTCTATTTTCAAAGAAACCGTGTTAGCAAATTTCTAATTTTTAGTTTTTAATACAATTTAATTTTATCTTTTTTTTTTTTACTAAAAATAATTTCTATATTAATTTTACACAGTTCCAACATTTTAATAATCTTTTTTTCTCATC